ATCATTGTGGGTTACATAGTACGTATGGACAATAGAGATTTTCGAAAATAAAGAGTTTTCATATGTTTTACTAGTAAGATTTTGTCTCGTACTTATACTTTTGTCAGGGGGGTGTATATACTGTATTATCATTATAAAGCATAGCTTTGTGGAGTGGCAGTCTTTAAATTATGGTATAAAAATATGTGATTATACACGTATATGTGGAGTAAATATATTCTTACTTCCTTGATTCTACGGTTTTATAACAAGAATGTATATGATTTGCTGTTGATTTTTTTCAAAAAGTACACATTAATTAGCTTCAAACCCATAGAAAAACTATTGTCGTTCACATAGTACGCATTGGCAAGAGAGATTTTTGAAAGACTTTTCATATGTTTTACTAGTAAAAAAAATAAAATCCGGTAATTTATGGTAGGGCAGTGTATATGTTCTAACCCAAATCGCGATGTGACCCAATTCAAAAAAGCTCAAAGTGATATCTATTTCGACATTGTCACATAATTTATACACAACGGTTGGGTTGGACACATCCGCACACAACAGATTATATACATATTTGGCATATATTCTACTACATGCATGGGAAAATTTTAATAACACACATGTTTCAATCATATTACTTTATAAAGATAAGGCTCTAAATCGATTCATCATATAAAACTTTACATTTATGTTAATTTCGTGGAGATAGACCATATCGATCGTATGATAGATGGCTTTGCTGAATATTGATATACTGCATCATCATATCATATGATTGATAGCAGAATTAACAATTTACATCGGTTCTGGCAATTTTGGTTCGTTATATCCAGAGTTCGGTATAAACAGTGTCAACTGCAGTGAAGATTTATGCCACTTATATGAACTTTAGTATTGAAAATTTTCGATATAGTAAAGAAAAATCCCCGTCCTCGTCGACTTTATTATATCGAGGTTTGACTGTATCAGGTTGAGATCGTGCATCAAGTGATGAAGGCGAAAATTTACTGTACGGTAATTATGTACTGTGATTACTTTATTCGTTGCTATGACAGCTATCATTTGATAATAACTTTATTTGACTAGTAAATAAAAAAACGCGGGTTGTTTACAATGTTGCCAACAATTAGATTAATGTATATGCTGTATGAGCAGAGGTTGGAAAAGTTTTCCAAAAAAAAATTGGCAACATTACTACTGATCTATAAAGGAGATGTAACAAGTATTACAGCAGAATGGTGATGAAATTAGATATTAAAAAAATTTTATTTAAATAAAGAAGACTAACCTTTCGAATAAATTTGGGTCACCACTGTATAAACAACCCTAATTTAAACATAAATGGATGTTACTTGCATAATACGGTAATAATCGATGTTAATATTTGTAGGATAAAATAAATATGCTTTAAAACCGTCGTACTCGACTAATAGTAATAGGAATTAGACGTAATTTTCTAAATTAACGATCATTTTATTATTGTAAACGGTTGTTCATCTCGTAGTAAATTTTGAGTATTACTTGGGTGACGTGAGTTTTAATTCTAAGTTTACTAACGCCTTAATATTTTGAAATCATCAGTAGTAATTCGGCTAAATCTCTTTTTCAATAGAAGTACTACACTCATAAATTTATTGCCAAGTGAAAGAGATATCATCATACAAAATTGCTTGCTATATATCTGATGAGACCAGCCCACTGCCATTTGATCGAAAAATTTTATAAAATAAATCAGTTGGTAGAGCGGTTCGCTAAAATTTTTCTATTATAATTGATATCAGGCGAGCGATACAGTAAATATAAATCAACACCAAAACTTTACAAAACGGCGAACCTTCAATCAGAATGCTCCCTGAGAACATCTGTTATAATTAAACGTAATCGAGGACATTCTTATCGATGGAACTACAATGTATGAAACTTCAACATGTGTAACAACCTTTCTTGGTTATAAACTAAATTCTATTTTCAAACTGTCATGTAATATATTTTTGTTTATTCGCTATAAGTTAATACTTAATAAAGTTATAAGTATAGTTGACTGGTTAAAAAACAAACAACAAGTCATTGTCAATGTACATTGTTCTCTCCGCTTATTTTTTAACTATTTTTTCTATTAAAAAAATATAATTTTGCCACGCCAAACAAACATAATACAGACAGTTTGCAAAATTTTCCTCCTTGTCAAGACATAATTGATGTTTCTTGGCATTAGTATTAGACATTAGCAAAGTGCCAAATAACCGTTTATACAATTAATTGGATTAATATTAAATTTAACTCCTTATTGGCTGAAGTACTATTCCCATTATAGTACGATTGATTGTAAAGACTGATTCACCAAAAAATTACATAAAACTCTATTATAACGCGTTTTGGCTGTAATCAATAGTCTCTTTATTCCCGTACTAGTCAAAAGGTCTTGTGAAACAAACGAGCAATATTTTTTACACAACTGTGCATTTGCTGTCGAATTCGTTAAATTTCTTAATAAGTTGTTACCACAGAAATTTATCTGTCAAGAAACTAAATGAAATGTATATTAAGATTACTTAACACATTTGATTTGAGATATGAATAACCTATTGTGTAAGCACAGCATCCACCAAAGGAATCAGCGCATTAAGAATATGTAGCAGCACAAGTAGACATTGGTCTTTATTATTAAAGAGGAGGCATAGGCACGAGCAGAAATATCCATACAGCGGCTGATCAAGAGTACGCCCCTGTTCAATATAGGCCACAACGTTATAGAAATGTGTGAGAACGTGGACAATTTGTGTCAGAAACAGGGAACATGCGAACGGCAATACATGCGGATGCTACAAAGTTTGAATATCAAGGCAACACATAGGACCGAAGAAGATGCAGGCATTGAGAATTAACGAGAAGAGATCTACAGAACGTATGGAGATGTCGCCCAATCTATAATTGTTATAGCTCAGTATATGATGCTACACAACCGGTAGAAAGAGTATAAAGTATGATCGAGAAAGTATTAGTAAGGAGAAGGCTAGAGTGTTAGGTAACCATTCTTTTATTTACCTTCCAAGTCAAACAATCAAAGTAATAGTAATAGTAATTCTCTAGATATTCACGTAACGTCCCTCCGTCAGCGTGTTCACAAGTAATAATGATCACCTGACATACATTCAGAGAATGTGTCAAAGTAATGAACAGAGCAACATTAAATATATGATGGTGAAAATGTAAGAGTGGATTGGTGGTCGGCATGCTTCTAATCTCATTCTCGATCAGGGTTCTCATTCATTGGCTAAGCCTTATTATTCTATAAAGGCTTACGCCTTCCTCCCCTTCTTCTGTTTGTCGTTAAATGTGTTTAAGAAATAATCATTGCTGTTGTCCTATGAGTTTTTTCTGCTGTTGGTTGGATGTAATCGGTGCCGTAGGCACCGGCACTGATATGGCCGAATTTATGTTCTAACTCATTGGTAGCATTCAGGAGTTGAATTTGTCGATATTAGGTAGATTCCATAACTCATTTTATGATAATTCCATTTTTGTAAGGTAGATAAACAACCCACTTTGTCTTCCTGCAAGTTCAGCCATACTGTATTTTCACTTAAACTCTCGCAATATGTATTTATTGCCTATAAATTGAATAATATCGAGTTAGGGTTAGAATTACAGAACAATATAAGAATGTCCAGAGCGCAAGAGTACTCGGCGAAAATACTGGCGGTTGTACAACACCTTTGTTCTTATTACATACTTTTCACTTGATAGAAATCAATAACTGATAATATAATCTATCTTATGTCTACGGGACCGTTCCGTTGCAAGAGCCACACGATGTATTCGATCCAGCCAGAAAGCGGCGATCATAGTAAATAATCGTTATGCGCAAAGTGTCAGAGTGTGAAGTGCCGGATGTAGACATCAATGCCTTCATACTTTAGTAGAGTTGCTCGAATCTATGTCAAAGCTGTATTACTATTACACTTTATTATCATACATTTACGTATCTAAGAAGATTTCAGCCAACGTACCCTCAGCCTTTACATTTCCAATACATCATGTGCCCCAGTTTGATAGAGTACGTTTGGGCGTCTCCGAACGCCTGAGGGTCGGATTTTGATGTACGTATGAGTGGCCAGGTAAATCTAATTATTAATAAATCAAATATTAGAATATATTAATAAAATTCTTAACCAGAGTCAACTTTACATCGATATTTCCAAATTCACTTTTTCATCAACCCTTACCCCTAGATTCCATTTCGCAACAAAGCGCCTGAATCCGATAACATACAACGCAGTCGGTGCTTATACGATTTGAAAGATAGGCACTCAAAAAAGCACAATATGAGCATTATATATGGCCACGATACTTTCTTGTAATCACTTGGGAAAGAATTAACAGTAAAGTTAGAATGAGAGTATTTTGGACACCATGTAATGCTCAATATTTACTCCGCGTAATACCTCTTTGTTTGCGCACGAACTACTGGTCGAAGATCTAAACTACATCCGCCATGCTTAAGAATACCGTAGAATTCGTAATTATCAACCAATAGTTCCTTTCATCTTTCGAGTGGAAGTCGGGCTTGCTATTCCCAGCGTGTAAACAGCTTAGAAACTGAGCCCGGATCAGGCGGGAGATCGGTGATTTGCTATGTGGATTGCCATAGAAAATTGACGGTCTGAATATTGAAGGTAGCCGTCGTCATGCCTCGCATCTTATCATCACAAGAATATCCATATGTCGAATACGGAATGCTGCCTTGTGTGATCCTTTCATTCGTTTATAACTGCTCCTTTGGAAACAGAAACCACAATATCGATCCATCTTGTAAATCCAGTGAAATAACTTAATATATGCATTGGACGAGGAGGAGATACTGTAACATCGTTAGCAGTCGCAGACTATTTTGAGTTTTTTGGAGGTGTTTTTAAAATGTTCGTAGAGATTTGTTATTCCGGAGAAACATTCTCGTTCAAATGTCGCTAATCAGCCAATGGAAAATTGCTTCAGCCAGATTTCAGTAGTGTAATTGAATGATAAGGCAACAGCCCATTTATTGGCAGAATTTTCGGAGTTTGGGTTTTATGTTCCATATAGTTAGTCAGCTTTAGGTATATGTGTGAATTTACGGATGGGTGTCCTTTGTAGTAGGAAGTTAGGCGTATTTAGGTGTAATTAGCGTTATTATTATAAACTTGGATTGAGAACTATGGGACGTTCAGATGCTTCCTAATTTACGGATGGGGTGGGGTGTTGTTAATATGAATTTGGATCGAGAACTATGCGACGTTCAAAATGACCTAGGTATATTTTCCTAAACGTTCTGGTTCGGTAGAAGCGCTCCGATGAAGAAGTGATGTCACTTTCTACATGGAGCAAAAGAAGACATAATGCGCTAATTCACAATGACCTGTCACATATTGTTTGTTGTCGATAAATATAGCAAATGCTTGTACCCCCAGCACGATTACCGGAGTTATCGGCATCAAAAGTTGCCATATTTGATTAGATAAGTATGACACATCAATCTGCTGCTGACGAGACCTTGCATGACATGGCGTTATTTTAAGGAATGTTGTAGAGCCAATCGTTTGTTATTGCGCAAGAACAAAGAAAAATGTACACATCTGCTTTATTCCATTTATTGGGATCCGATAGTTATTTATTTATATTACATGCCACAATATCTAATAAAAAGTCTTAAATTACAAGCATATTACGTACGCCCTTACAATGGCGTTTACCATTTTATATGCATCAACAACTTTAAGGACATATATTGTATACATGTACATATAGTGTATATTGTATGGTATTTAACTGATCGATAAACCTGTTTGTGAGTAGATTAGCTAAGCCTCGTTCCATAGATAGATAAGCACACTAACTCATAGTAAGGAAGACAAAGACATTCATACCATTTTCGATGGCTGAGGCGTTGCCGGTATTGTATACTGTATAAAACTAATATGGTTAAACTCTAGCAGATGACATAAGCGCTTGCTAAGCCTTCTTCATTGTCGATGGGTGGTCGAGTATTGTTTGTTGGGGTTGTGTCTTACTGATTTGATGAGCCCTTGAGAGGATTGGCTAGTCTTTATCCCTTCAAAATATACTTCTAATAGAAACAATGAAACATCCGCAGCGTAAATTAATTACATTATACGTTGATAAAGTTAAGTTCTTTAAAAAAAAAGTACTGTATACCAACTTTACCAATAGTCTCCAGGAACGTTTAATGGAAATTCCAATCTCATCACATAAACGACTACGCCTATTGAACCTACCTTCCTTGGAATTTAATTGACCTGAGCACAAGGAGGCTTATTGTCAACCCGACTGTCGTTTGTTCTATCTCTAAAAACACAGTTTCATGAACCGTAAGTCATCAAAGCCTTATCCTACTCAGATAGAGGCTCGTTTTAAAAAAAAAAAAAAGTGTTGGCGATTGAGGTCAAAAGTATTTTTCTCATGTAAACTTATAAGATATTTTATTATCATGGTTGCTTTCGCCATATGAGTATCCTAATTTAGGCTGAATGTCATCTTTTTGAATGGAATTTTTCTAAAACGTGTACCACAAATATTGCGCCTGCATTGACTTAAACGGGCGTGTCATAGAAAATGAACTAACAATGTTTATTATTATCAGCGTCTGTAATCATTAACGGGTCGAGAATACATGCTATTGCTGACATACGTAAATAAATTGCCAGATACTTTTTTAGAGTACACTCAGTAGAAAAAACAACTGATTTTATTATTGCACAAATTGGGCATCACGGGGTCCAAAATTTATATTTAAGCACGCGTCGTGCATAACGCTTTTTCCTCCAGCTTATCGGCTAAAAATTAACAACCAACATATCTCTCCTACATTACTCTCATATTACTCACATTACTCTCACATACTCACTACATTACTCCCCACATTACTCCCCACATTACTATCCACTTTCCTCCACAAAATGCTCTTTGAATCTGTTCATTCTGACAATGAGTAAGTTATTTCGGTCCTACGAGCGAACATAAACTGTTGACCATGCAAGAGGGGGATCGTAAATTACATTCTCTATGGTGCTATCAATTATTATTAGCAGTTACTAGAGTTCTTACTAGCTAACCATAAAATCCATATATTGCGCCACTCATGTGATTATGCACCTATCATATTAAGTATACATTCAAACCACATGATGTCTAATCATAAATGTTTGTTTTAGTCAATTCTTGTCGGTGCCAGAAATTCGGATAAATGAAGACGACGGACAGGAGGCATCATTGAACAAAAATGCCGTCGAAGAAGAACAAAGTCCTACTGCTCAGGCAACAACGACGTAAGTAAATTACAAGTCAATACACTGCGGTATTCTGCAACAAACTAAACATAAGACAACATGTGCATCAATTAGCGCCGCCGCTATCGAAGGAGCTGTTCAGACTAAAAGTAATAGTCATTGTGGAATACAGCTTGAGGCACTGATGCTTGAACCACCACGGGGATATAATACGGGCATTCAAAATCAAATAGTATGTCTTTTTTTATTATTATTATTATTATTATTGATTTCGCAAAGGGTATCGGTTTTTGAAACTAATTAATATAAAATCTGTAGAATGTAATAAATGATGAGTTGCTCCAAATTAATAACGTTCTAAACAAAGAGCAAACCGAACAAGAGGCGTTAGCGCGTCAAGGTACCGCAGAGTAAGTTGAGTTGGGAGAGAGACGAGACGCACCTATTATAGAAGATGAAAAGTTAATCGTTATTTCGATATGATTTTATTTATTTATATATATCAAGGCTCCAGTATCTCGCTGTCGTGGAAGAACGTCGTTTGGAGTCCATACGCGAAAGCGATCCGGATATTTATGAAGCAGTATACTGGGTCCGGCGTA